CGCAGCAGCAGCAGCAGCAGCAGCAGCAGCAGCAGCAGCGAGCCCCGGGAGCGCAGCAGCATACGCGCGGCGGCGGGCCGCGCGGGTGCGGGAGATGCGCGTAGTGCCGCACTGCCAGTGCCCCGCAGAAGTGAAGGTGCGGTACTTGAAAGAGGGTGGGGTTGTTGTTATTTTGGGGGGCCCCCACTCGGGGGCCTGCTGGGCCGCGCGGGGCCGCAGCTACAAAACGCCTGCTGCAGCAAAAGACTTCATTTGGAGACACTCTTACCTGTCTCCGGGGGCCCTCAGTCTTTGCTTCCAGTCCCCAGACTTGGCCCTCCAGCTGGCCCGCGAGGGGCCCCCCCCCCTTGCTGCTGCGCCGCCCCGCGCGGCCATTGAGCACTGCCTCTACGCAGCCCGCAAGCAGCAGAGGGGCCCCCCTGCTGCTGCTGCTGCTGCTGCGGAGGGGGAGGGAAGCCTCCAGCTGCAGGCGGGGGCTGCGGGCGCAGGGGCAGGGAGGGGGCTGGGCGGCAGCAAGGAGCAGGAGGCAGGTGCAGCAGCTGCTGCTGCTGCAGGTGCTGCTGCGCCTGCTGCTGCTGCTGCTGCTGCTGCAGGTGCTGCTGCGCCTGCTGCTGCTGCTGCTGCTGCTGCAGCGGGATGCGACGGGGGGGAGGCAGCAGCAGCAGCAAATGGACACGGGAGGCCCCCGGACCCGTACGTCCTACAGGCCCTCAGCACCCTCGAGCCCCTGAGGGGCCCCCCTAGTGGGGGGGCCCCCCTCCCGAACCGCCACTGCAGGAGGGGCCTCGCTCGCGCTGCACTTGCTGCCAGGGGGGCCCCCGGGGGCCCCTCCAGGAAGTCTTCGCGGCTGCGGGACCTGTTGCTGCGGCAGCAGCCCAAAGCAACTTCCAAGAAGCCCGCCAAGGGGGGCCCCCGGAATAAGGGAAAGGGGGGGCCCGCAGGCGAGGCAGAGGGGGGCCCCAAGGAGCCCACAGCAAACGAGGGGGCCCCAACTGATAAGACTGAGACTACGGGGGCCCCTAGTGATAGGGCTGAGACTACAGAGGCCCCCAGTGATAGGGCTGAGACTCAGGGGGGCCCCAGTGATAAGGCTGAGACTACGGGGGCCCCAAGTGATAAGGCTAAGACTACGGGGGCCCCCAGTGATAAGGCTGAGGCTACGGGAGGCCCCAGTAATAATGGTGAGACTACGGGGGTACCCAGTGATACTGCTGAGACTACGGGGGCCCCCCGCAAAGGAGGGTCTGAAGCGGGGGGGGGGGCCCAAGAGGCATCCGAGGGGGCCCCTGAAGGGGGCCCCCCAGGGGACTCCGCAGAGGCCCGCGTGGACAGCAGCAAAACGACAGAAGGACAGGAAGCTTCACAGGTACCAGAGGGGCCCCCAAATGGCCCTGAAAGCGCAGCAGGGGCCCCCACGGACTCCCCTCCCGTGGGGGCCCCCACGGGGAGGGGCCCTCAGGGGGGCCCCCCAGCAAACCCAGAAGGACCCACTTCTAAGGGGCCCCCTGAGGATGCTGCCTGGCCAGCTTTGGCTGCTTACTTTCTGCGGCAGGCGCGCCGAATTGAAGAAGATCAGGAGGGCCTCGTGGGGGCCCCCCTCTTGGGGGCCCCAGGGGGCCCCCAGGGGCCCCACAGCAATCAAAGCAATCAAGGGGGCCCCCAGGAAGACCAAGACAAACAGCGCGAAGGTACTTTCAACACTTTAGAGGGTACTGCTCTGGAAGGGGGCCCTGCGGGGCTGGCGGGGGGGCGGGGAGGATAA